TTACATACATGAGTATTTTTAGTTCATCTTTACAACAATCCTTTGAGATTTTGTGTTGCCCACTTAATAACTAAGAAAACAGGCTTGGAGAAGTTAGGTAACTTTCCCAAGGGACCCATCATGAATTAGTTGATGGTGGAGCTGGGATTTGCATTAAATCAGGCCTGACTGACCCAAAGCCTATCTTCTTAAGTTCTTTTCAAGTGAGGTGTTGAAAAATAATGCAAAGCCTGTGGTTGATGCCCTGTGTGGAGAATCGCATCCTGCCCAGGTGAACATACCAGGAAAATTGGTAGCCAGCTTTCTGCTTCTCCTAGCCAACAATTAGATCTCATTACATCGATTTGTTTTTTTTTTTTTTTTTTTTTTTTTTTTTTTTTTCTTTTTTTTTCTTTTTTCAAGTTTTTATTTAAATTCCAGTAGTTAACATACAGTGTAATATTAGTTTCAGGTGTAGAATTTAGTGATTCATCACTTACGTATAATATAACATCCCATGCTCATCCCAAGTGCCTTCCTTCATATCTATCACGCATTTAACCCATCCCTCCAGCAACCCTCAGTTTGTTCTTGGTAGTTAAGAGTCTGTTTTCTGGTTTGCCTCTCTTTTTTCCCCCCTGTGTTCATCTGTTTTGTTTCTTACATCAATCTGTTTTATTACCATTTGTCAGAGGAAGGCATCCAAACTAAACTAACTTTATGATCCACCTCTCCAGAGAAAAGATTTATTATCATAAGCCTAAATACAGGAGCAACTCTTAATTCTATCCAGATTTTTTATTTTTACATTTTTAGGACTTGAGATGAACTCCTTTTTTAAAATTTCTTTTTATAGTATTATTATCCTTGGAAGTTCCCTTACCTTAAATTTGTCATTTGCATATGAAGTACCTTGTGCATTTAAGAGGGTCTTGCTGTCTCTGACTGTGGAAATGTATTAGAAATGGCTCATAAATTAGAAATGGGAAGTGTTGCCCATGCAGCACTTTAGTGAGAACCGGAAGACCCAAGTTTCCTGACTACCCACCCCATGTTCTTTTTCTTTCCTTTTTTATATTTTGGTTTAAAAAATACATAACATAAAATTTACCACTTTAATCTTTTTTTTTTTTTTTTTAAGTGCACAAGAGGGGAGAAGGGCAGGAGAGACACAGACAGACAGACAGAGAGTATGAATCCTAAGCAGGCTCCATGCTCAGCACAGAGCCTAATGCAGGGCTCGAGCCCACTACTCTGGGATCATGACCTGAGCCAAAATCAAGAGTTGGATGCTCAACTGACTGAGCCACCCAGGCGCCCCACCACCTCAATCATTTTTAAGTGTATAATCCGGTAGTGTTCACACTGTTGTGAAACAGATCTCCAGAACTTTTTCATCTTGCATATCTGAAACTCTATACTCATTAAACAATTTCCCTTTTCCCCCATACCTACCATTTTACTTTCTGTTTGTATGAATTCCACTACTTTAGATACCTCATAGAAGTAGAATCAGTATTTGTCTTTTTGTAACTGGCTTGTTTTAGTTAACAAAACATCCTCACGTTTCCTCTGTGTTGTAGCATGTGACAAAATCTCCTTCTTTAAGCTAAGTAATATGTATATAGTACATTTTGTTTATCCATTCATCCATCAATAAACATTTGGAGTGTTTACACCTCTTGACTGTTGTGAGTAATGTTGCTATGAACATGGGTCTGCAAATATTTCTTCAAGACCCTGCTTTCACTTCTTCTGGATATATACCCAGAAGTGAGATTGCTGGATAATATGGTAGTTTTATTTTTAATTTTTGAGTAACTTCCATGCTGTCTTCATAGTGGTTGTACCATTGTGTAATCCCACCAACCGTGCCCCAGGTGTTCCAGTTTCTCCACATCCTTGCCAACACTGGTTATTTGGTCTTTTTTGATAATAGCCATCCTAATAGGTGCAAAGTGATATGTCATTGTGGCTTTGATTTGCATTCCCCTGATGATTAGTGATGTTAAGTATCTTTTTGTGTACTTATTAGCCATTTGTATATCTTCTTTGGAGAAATGTCTGTTCATGTCCTTGGCTCATTTTTTTATTCAGGTTGTTTGATTTTTTTTTTTTTTTTTTTTTTTTTTTTTTTTTTTTTTTTTTTTGCTATTGAGTTGTAGGAGTTCCTTATATATTCTGAATATTAACCCCTTATCAGATATATGATTTGTAAATATTTTCTCCCATTCTGTACCTTTTCACTCTGTTGATTGTGTTCTTTGATGTGCCAAAGTTTTTTAAGTTTAATGTAGTCCATTTATCTAATTTTGCTTTTGTTGCCTCTGATTTTTGTGTTATAACCAAGAAATCATTGTCAAATTCAATGTCATGAAAAACTACATGAAGCTTTCCTCTATGTTTTCTTCTAGAAGTTTTATGGTTTGAGGTCTTACATTTAAGTCTTTATCCATTTGAGTTAAATTTGTGTATTGTCCAACTTCATTATTTTTGCATGTGGATATTCAGTTTTCCCAACACCACTTGAAAAAACTATCCTTTCTCCATTGAATCATCTTGGACCCTTGTTAAAGACCATTTAGCCATATATGTGAGAGTTTATTTCTGGGCTGTCTAGTGTATTCCATTGGTCTCTTTGTCTTTAGACCAATACCATGCGATTTGGATTACTGTAGCTTCGCAATATGTTTTGAAATTAGAGAGCATGAGTCTTCCAATTTTGTTCTTTTTCAAAATTGTTTTGGCTATTTGGGGTCCCTTGAGATTCCATATGAATTTTTGATGAATTTTTCTATTTTTGTAAAAATGTCATTGGGATTTTGATAGGGATTGTTTTGAACCTGCAGATCGTTTTGGGTGGTATGGACATCTTAATCATCTAATGATCTCTAACACAGTATGTTGCTGTCTCATGTTCACTTCTAGGTTTTCATATTGTGGTTGCTGTGGTATCCCAATTGTTTATTTCAATTATAATATGTCAAATTTTCAGTGATCCAGAAAAGTATAGAGAATCATTTATTTGTTCAGCTTGTATTTGATGAGTGCATACTTTGTGCCTGTCTACTATATATCAGGATTTCACATATAGATATAGATATATAGATATAGATATAGATATTTTTTTAATTCTGGTTAACATACAGTGTAGTCTTGGCTTTAGGAGTAGAACCCAGTGATTCATCTCTTAACCTATGACACCCAGTGCTCATCTTGAAAAGTTCCCTCCTTAATGCGCATCACCCATTTAACCCATCTCCCCACCCACCTCCTTTCCAGCAACCCTCAGTTTGTTCTCTGTATTTAAGAGTCTCCCTCTCTGTATTTATCTTATTTTTCCTTCCCTTCCCCTATATTAAGATATATTTTGTAATATTTGAGTCAGGTTTCCTTTTTCAGATGACTATAGCGGGGACATTATATCATTATTATTAATCAAAATATAAGAAAAAATGTTCTAACAAATCAACGTATTTTCCCTTTTTCCTTCCAGTTCCTTCTATGTACCACATTTTTCCAGTAGTAATGCTCACTTAGATGACATGTTATACTCTGCTTCTTTCTCTTAATAGTATATCATCAGCATTTTTTTCATACTGCACTGTGCTTTTTGTAATTATTCTTTTTTAAATTTTTTTTAATTTTATTTTTTATTTTTTAAAATTTACATCCAAATTAGCATATAGTGAAACAATGATTTCAGGAGTAGATTCTTTAATGCCCCTTACCCATTTAGCCCATCCCCCCTCCCACAACCCCTCCAGCAACCCTCAGTTTGTTCTCCATATTTAGGAGTCTCTTCTGTTTTGTCCCCCTCCCTGTTTTTATATTATTTTTGTTTCCT